TTAGTTTTTTTTATATTGCTGCAATTGGAGTTTCTCGGTAAATCGACCAAGAGACAACAGACAATATGCAATATATCCTGGTGAATCTCTTCACCATATTAAGCTACTGAAATCCTTATTTGTTAATAGCTTTTACTAAATTTTTCATGAGTCCAGTGTTATGTGAAGTGGTGGAGAAAAACTTTTAGTCTAGTGGCACTAAATGTTTTTAAGATTAATTTCTAACTCCTAGTGTTAAACTTTTTTTTTTTGGCAAATTTTTCACTATGTAATGTTTATCTCTTGTACGACTGTCATATTGACAAGATGTCAGAGCAAATTATCAGAGCATATTGTCACAGCAAAGAAAGCAAAGATTTTAATCAAATTAGATGTATCCAAGATGAAAATAGTAAAATAACAATTCACGAAAAGGATGTCAAAAAGAGATGGAAAAAGTAGTTTGACAGACAACCAGTTGAGTTAACGGAGACAGTAACAGCAATGGTGACCGAAATATCAAACAATGATGTGGCTTAAGCAATTTAAAAAATAAAAAAAGGAAAAGCAGTTGGACCAGATAATATTCTTGGGGAAGTGTGGAAAGCATTAGGAGAGACAGGGACAAATTGGTTAACAGGTCTATTTAATAGAATTATGGAAGTTGAAAAAGTGCCAGATGAATGGAGAAGCAGTGAATTAGTATCTGTCTACAAAAATAAGGGAGATATTCAACAATGTACAAACTACAGTATTATAAAACTACTTAGTCACACCATGAAAATATGGGAGAGAGTAATTGACAGACGGATATCTGAAGAAACGAAAATATCCAATAATCATAATAGTATTTGGCTTTATGCAAGGCAGATCAAAAACAGGAGCAATTTTCATTTTAAGGCAGTTGATGGAAAAATACAGGAATAAATAAACAAACGCTCATATGATATTCATTGATCTTAAAAAAGCATATAAGAGTTCCTCGGGAGATTCTGTGATGGGCACTCAATAACAAAGGAGTCTCCGCTGAATATGTAAGGATTATGAGAGACATGTATGAGGGGGGTAACAACTAGATTTAGGACATGTGTGGGAGAGACTAATAAATTTTATGTGAAAGTACGATTGCACTAAGGTTCGGTGCTTAGTCCTTATTTATTCTCATTAGTTATGGATCAAATAACAGCGAAACTACAGCGTATTCCGTGGTGTTTAATGATTGCTGATTATGAAGTGTTAGTAGTAAAGAGTGAAAGCGACTTAGAACAAAAACTGGAACAGTGTAGACAAGCTCTTGAAGAAAAGTTTTAAAACTTAGTAGGACAAAAATAGAGTATTTGGAATGTTCGTTTAAATATGGAGTTAATACAAATATAATGATATATTTAGGTGGTGAAATGATTGTGAAAATAATAGTTTAAATTTCCTAGGATCGGTGTTATAGATTAATAGGGGAATAGATGGAGATACATGCAGTACAATTAGGGTTGAAGCTGAAGGGAAACTTTTATAAAACAGCGATAAGACGAGCTATAATGTACGGAACTAAATGTTGGGTAATTAAAAAGAAATGGGAACAACGAATGCATGTGGCGGAAATGAGAATGGTTAGATGGATAAGTGAAGTGACAAAAAAGGATAAAATTAGGAATAAGTATATAAGGAAAGTATAGGGGTGGCACCAATTGTTGCCAAGATGAGAGAGCATAGGTTCAAAATAGAGACATTAATCAGTCAATACGTAGAATTGCCGATCTGCAGGTTCCTGGAGGTAGTAGGAGAGGAAGACCAAAAAAGACCTGGGAAGAGACGCTTAGGCAGGATATGTCGCTAAAGGATATTATTATTGATATGACCCGAGATAGATATTTATAGAGAAATGTACTTAGGGAAGCCTAATCCGCATAAGGATAAAGGCAAAGAGAATAATGATGATGACGACTGTCATATTCACACAAAAAAATAGAAAAACTTAATAAAAAGCAAAAAGTGTATCCTTCCTGTAAGCCAGTAAGTACAGCTACGACTTTCAGATCAGCACATCTACTCCACAGCTATTGGTAATATTTTATTGGCTTAAGTAATACCTCCAATTTTGTGTAATTATCTTTCATGTTCATGTTTGTTGCATGCTCAATGGGTCTTTATTATCATTTCATCAGGTGAAGGGTATTTATTATCATTGTCAAGTAAGGTGGTTTCCAAACTGTTATTTTAAAAACATAAATAAAAAGTCTCCATTCTTTATCTTCTGGAAATTTCAGTTCTTGAAGAAGCCCTGCGTATCATTAAAATACATTATATCACCTACTTTGGAGTTGCAACTCTTAGAGTTTTTTTTCTCTAGTGCAAAAATATAAGATTCTCTTCTATCACTTCTACCTATCTTTATTTTACTACTCGCTAAATCCCATCTTAAATGTATATACAATATTAGTGTCGATGTAAAAAACAAACTCAAAAAATCCTAAATTTTAAATATTTAAAAAAAAATCACAACAGACAAAAGAGATAAAATGGGTCAACGGATATAGATTTAGAGCACTGATATCTTCATATTTATTGTAGAATTTGTAAAAGGATGATTTTGTTGTAGACCAGTGTTATCTATAAGCAAGAAAATACATTGGTAGATTTTTAACTTATACTATGGCGTACACTTTAGTTTATGTTATTAATCAATCCATAAGATTCTAGTTTGATTATGAACACATTACTTCATAAACCGATAATGCCATTACTACTTGCAATTTAAGACCAGATCGATGTCCTGTCATAGCCTTGGCCCCATCGGTACCTATAGCAAAGCATTTCGCGTAGTCAATATGGTATTTATAAATCATTTGCATAAAAGTTCCAAACAAATACTTCCGGTAGTATTGGTTTATAGTGAAGAACAAAATTAAATATCTTCTGTGATGCCATTTTTTTCGTTGTACCTTCAGCATGTTATAAACGGATCACAGTTGTAAGTATTTGTAGATTCATCTATCTGTAGAGCTAAGTACGCAATATCTTAGATGTTTTCAATATTTTGTTCTCAAATATCTTTTGCCTTGTTACCTATTATTTTTTGGATATTATTATAAAAAGTTTGGTATAAAAGGTATGGTTTTCATTTTTGCATTTTGCAGCCTCTTTTTCACCTACTACTATATTCACCAATTCCACCATCTCAACAGTTGCAGGTAGAATCAAATATTTAGCAATTCTATGTGACATACTGCAATGCGATATGCAACCCTATAGCTTTCTGGTAATGCTTTTTCATTTGTAGTGGTGGATGATGAAAAAATAGCTTGTTGGTTGTGAGACCTTAGCTTTCTTTCAAAGAATTCTAACGACTTCTCTTTTCTGACTGGACGTTTCCTATTTAAATGCGTAAGTAATTTTGGGGGCTTCGTACTTTCTTTTGACAAAACTTGAGGCTAGCGGACTGTGGCTTATCCACTATAAATAACTGTAAGAGGACAACGCAACGTTTGTTACTTAATCACGTTTTCTCGCTTCCATTAAGTCGAATTTACAATTCTATAAATATTTAGACCTTCTTTTGGTTAAATACATAAGGAAAACATAAGTAAAAATAAATTGTGTAACTGGATTATAGATATTTATTAGACAGGTAACAATAAAACACTGAAAACTTTGTTTTCAAATTTCCACAAAATTTATTTTAACTATTATCACTACAGCTGTTTCGGCTGATTGCCTTTCTCAATTGATCTATTTTTGGCATGCGTTTACAATTTATAGTCTCTAATGAAATAGGTTGAGGAGGGGAGAACTGTTTGTCTCAAGTTGGTCATTCAGAATGATATCTGTTTTTTAATTTGTTGATTTCCATAGATTCTAACAAAGATAGCTTAAGGCCTTTATTTTGAATGTGAAGAATTTTAAATTTGTCATTAAAAGAATGATTATGATCTAGAAAGTGAAGTGCGTATGTCGAATCTGTTTTTCTATTAGTGAAAGCCCTTTTATGTTCTGCTATTCGTTTATTAAAGTTTCTACCAGTTTGACCGATGTAAGTTTTTAGGCAGTCGCCACATTGAAGTTTGTACACACCACTATTTAAGTGTTTTTTATTTTGGCTCTTGTTATTTTTAATATATTTGCCTAGGTTGTTATTTGTTCGGAAAGCTGGTGTTATTCCTTTCTTTTTTATGTGTTTGGCTATGTTGTTATTTTGCCTGTATATGTAATCGAGCAGAAGGTACTGGGTTTTTTCTTTGGTGGTGGAAATACTAAATTCAGGGCTTTCTTGTGTAGGTTTTGATTTAAATTTGAATCCAATAAATATTTTTGTCTCGACTAATTTTTGTCAAAATTACGATCTAAGAAAATTTGAGCAACACTGACGTATACCATATGAACCCTTAAATATAATAGTAAACTAACAGATAATGATTTCTACATGGAATGCGGGGTTAAAAGCGAGACAGAATACTGTATATTTCGTTGGGATGTTTATGTAAAATACAGCGATAACTAAGAACCCTGCTTGAGTTCTTATCCCTAAAGATATAAAAAAACTATCGAAGGCTTTTGTACACAAATTGAAATGGAAAAAGTTTTACAAAAGCGTTGCAGACTAAGAAAAACAAAACACGATTTGGTTTTGGAAGATGCTCTGTGGTTGCTGTTCGTTCAAGAACGAAGACAAGGAACGCCGGTAAGTGGACCAATCCTAAAATGAGAAGACTTTGATCTTGCACTTAAAACTTCGACCGGTTAGTTCGACCACTTTTAAGTTCGGACTAGACTCCAGTCCCAAGGTGGCCGAAATTACGGGAGTCTACGTACACATGTTTACACCTATTGCTTACACCTGTTTTAAAACTTTTTGTCGTTGTTCGATACCCAGTAGCCTCTGTCCTTTGTCTAGTTAATGATGTTTTTCTCTCCATTTCTCACATAACTACTTCTATCAAGCTTTTTATGTTTTTTCATTTCCTATATTTATCGGGTTTTTATTAGGTAATTTTATTTTTGTCACTTTCTGCGAATGGCCACATTACCTTTTACCAAGTTTTCATAAGGTTCAATGATATTGTTCATCCTATTATTTATCATCTTCTATCGTCTCGATTATCCTGCAGATCTTCCCAAAAATGATTTATTATGTTATTATTATATATTTAATAAAAATATTATATATTCTTTGTTTGTTGTATATATGTTATTTTATATATTTTGATCCCAAAATATATTGTTGATTAAATAATTATGTTGTTTTATCCTATATGTATCTTTCTGTAATGACTTTATCCACTATTCTTTTCAGTGCTATATTCAGTTCCATATATTTGAACTCTTGGCATTGGAATATGTGTTAGCCGATTTGAAACAATAGGTATTTATTTATGGACTTTCTTTATTATTCAGTCATCTTCGGTGTTATGTATTCGATGTCGTTGTAGTCTTGTGGTAATAACATCTTGTTATCAGATATTCAGAAAGAATACTGTTTTTATTTTTTTTGGGGTATTCCCATGGGAGATCATGAGATACGACGCTTTCCACCGTTAGAAACACAAGAGGCCTAAACAACAAATAGAGATATACATTAAGGAACCAAAGAAAAGTGAAAACTAAACAAAAAGCAGTGAGAGAAACCAAAACAAGTAATCAAAACAAAGTAAATCACAAGAGAGAAAAGCAAGAACTTTAGAGAGAAAAACAAGTATATTAATAGAGGATAGTTCGTAGCTCTAGAAGTCGATAAACACTGCTAATCCCCAAGCTGTGTGGGCCCCAAGGGATGAGGCCCAATCAACAACAACAGGTCTCATCAAGACATCCTACAATAAAAATAATAAAAAACATTAAAAAATGCCCTAGGCCAACAAAAAATACTTAAAAACCCTATAAAAATTCATGGAAGCTACCCAAAAAAATTATAAAAACAAAAACAAAAAACCCGGGCAAGTAGGGCCCAAACACTTGAGCAACAAGTCTCCGGACTGGACGTAGATCGGTGCGGAGACTTAGGGCCCAAGTAAGTAATTAGATTAGATTTGCTGACAAGTCACTAGAGGATATTAGGAATAAAGCGCGTCACGCTGTCCTGAATTTGAATCGATTAGATGAACCATGTTGGAGTTCTAGTACCCAGGACTCACACATGAAGAGCATTTGGCTGATAGTTATGCCCCTATCGCGCATCAGAGTGCTATAGGGCGGAAAGGTATGGTCTGGAGTATTGGAGCACGGTTGAGTGACTTCTGTTTTTAACTCGAGTTAATACACCTCGCTCCAATAAATTGTTACACCCGAACGTGATTCTTAGGAGTGAATATGGCTCACAGGCTGGGTTTGATTAAATTGGTTGCTTGCTTGCTTGTAAGGAAGTACAATTACTCATCTGTCGTAAAAGATACAAAAAAATATATTTTTTTAATATTTTTATATATACAGGACGACCCACATTGACAGGGAGGAACAAACTTATCGTTTTTTTTTATGAAATACTCTTTGTATTTATACATTTTTAGACTTTCCTCGATATTCTCGTTTTTGCAATTCAAGTTTAAAAGATAATTACGTGTTTTATTAATTTGGACAGGATTGGTCGAAACTTGGAGTGAGTATTCTTAAATCGAACACCCTATTTTGTATTTTAGTATGTTAATGAAATGTTACTTTAATGTACTTCACTTTAAGATTGTTGGTGTGTAAAGTAAGAAAAAAACCCACAATATTCTATCTATTTAGTTAGCTTTAAATTTGACACTAAACTTGCTTAAAAGTTTGACATTAGCACAAGGGAAATTGCAAATACTTTTGAAATTACTGGTCGTAGTGTAAAAAGAATTTTAAAAATGGACAAGATGCATCCATATCATGAACAGTTGTATAAAAAGCTTAAGATGGAGTAGAAACAAATTCAGAATTATAAATATTTCTTCGAAAAAATTTCATTTGGAGATAAAGCTACTTTCCAAAAGAATGGTACTGAAAACAGAAATAATTTCTATTATTACTTAAAGTCTAATTTACACCACATGCTCAACAACACTCAAACAAGATGGTCGTTGAATGTTTGGTATATAATTCTTGGAAATTATATCATCGGACCCTACTTTTTCGATGATCTCGTCAAAGGAATAATGTATCTACATTTTCTGGACAACGAATTGCCGAAGTTATTGAAAGCTGTACTTATAGCAGTATAAGTTTTTAGAGTAGAATGTGCAAAAGTTTCCTGGAAAATGGATAAAAAAAGGAGGAGTCAGAATATGGCCTTCACGATCTCCACAGTTAAAGAAGATAGACATTTTTTTCTGGGGCTAGATAAAAAATAAACACTAGCTACAACTAAAGAAGATATAAAGGACAGAATTACAGATTAATGCACCAGATTAAACAAAAATGTATTAACTAGCGTAAGCCGCTCTTTTGAAAATTCCTTGTATTGACGTCGACGAAGGTCATTTTGAATATTTATTATAATTTCAACGATTTTTAACAGGCTTATTTTACTAAATTAAATAATTTAACGGATACATAGTTTATATTAAATATTGTAAAATAAGTTTGAAAAAGAACTGTGAATTTAAGCTAATAAACAATGTTGGCATTTTTACATGAATTCAAAGAAAAATATAATGTCCTACGACCCTTATAACACTAGTTACCCTTTTTTCAGGGGGCTTCAAAAATTCACCGGGGCTTTTTTTATAAACAATATGCAATTATAAAAACCTTTTGAAAGATTAAGAGTTTAAGTTTAGATAAAAAAAATTATGCTTTAAGAAATATTCCGTCTTTGTTGCGCTAAAAAGGTTTAAAAACGAAGCGATTTTCTTTACATTAATTGTCAAAGTCTTAGCTAATGTGTGTTTTTATTAATATTTTACAATCTAAAAATCTTAACTACTTAAGTATTTTGATATTTCATTCAATATTAACAAATCAATGGTCGCTGTGCCATGGAACAAGACTGAATGTGAAACGGCTAATGTCATTGACGTAACGGTCATTAATTAAAAATACAAAGGAGAGAATGTCCTGATCCTGCGCATACCGATGTATCGTCTGATTTTAAACGTTTACAAAGTCCTGTGAGTTTGGCTTTTGCAATGACAATAAACAAATCCCAAAGCCATCCGTTGGAATTTTTTGGAATTAATTTAGTTGATGATAGTAATGAGTTTCTGTGTGTCGCACGGAGACAATTATTCTCGCAATTTTTTTCATATATAAAATGTTTTTTTTTTGGTTTTTTTGCTAATTTTTTAGACACATTATTTACTTCTAACGCGCCGGGTCACCTAATATATATATATATATATATAAGGATCACTCAGCCGAGTGGTGGGTTCTTATATCGGTCTCAAGGTGGAGAAATAAAAGACAAAGTTGATAGGCTACTTTATCTATTTTGAAGACGAATAAGAGAACTGACATAAGTAACTTGAGCCAAATATATCATGCTTTAATTTTGCAGAATTAGGCTTTATGATCTTTTCACTACATTAAATGTCATATAAGGTGTACTACTTGAACTCTTTTTCCAATTTGCATGAAATATTTAAAATACATAAAATAGAAATAAAATACATAAAATACTTAAATATTCCTTACTTAACTTATTATAACATATGCAACTTACATTGCGTTTTCATACACTGATTACTTAGATTAGTGTGAACATTTTTTGCTTACAAAACCTAATACAAATATTGTAATTGATTCATAGAATCCTTTGCAAACGACAGTTCCAAGTATTTGAACCTTGGGCTGTTGGAAATTAATTTATCGTTAACCACCTGTGGCTGATTATCTAGCCATAATGATTAACGTTATTACTTATATATGAGGTTGAATGAAAATCTCCTGTTTGTAAGTCTAGACTGATTAATGAGAGGAGTTGCTATTACAGCACCAATTTCTTTCACTGGTTTGTCTTTTGCAACCGGGTAGCCATCCAAACTCATTGAAACTTTTAAATTGACCGCCCAATTATTTGGGTTGGTACCTCCACCTTGCTGATCTGTCAAAAGTATTTTGACCTCAAGGTTGGCTGTCTTTTTGCGGTTTAGTTCGTTTTGGTTCATCTAACGCCATTTTTCCGGCGACAGCTGTAGGGCTTTGATCGGTAACTTCATTTACGCTACTTTTTTAAATTAATAATTTTTATTAATATCACTTATAATGCTACCTAAAGTTAAAATCAAAGCTTAATAATCATTAAATAGTTGGAAGTTGTCTATGATTTTCTTCTTTTGCACTAATTAATATTAAATAACATTTCATTTATTTTAGACCACATGGTCATTTGATGTGCTAATTTTTTATAAGTTCCTATATGTTGTTAGTTACTTGATTGTTTATACAATATCAGCGTATTATGTCCATTTACTTAAGTTTTATTCACATTATTGTAAATAACTTTGACTGCTACATGTCTTTTTAAGGTAACAATTAACATCGTTTCCATGATTGTGTGGTTCTCATATTGTACTTTTTAGATGAACTGATGATGCTTTCAAAACTCGAAAGCGAAACGTCTTCAAAATAGATAAAGTAGCCTATCAACTTTGTCTTTTATTTCTCCACCTAGAGACCGATATAAGAACCCACCACTCGTCTGAGTGATCCTTATATATATATATATATATATATATATATATATAATATATATATATACATATATATATATATATATATATATATATATATATATATATATATATATATATATATATATTGGATTGACGGTCGTACTCCTTTTTCCGATATATATATATATATATATATATATATATATATATATATATATACAGGGTGGTGAATCGTCAAACGGTCCATAGGAAACTCAATGGGAAATTCTAAATTGTTGAATTCCTGCTTCCCTAATTATTTTACACCCAAAGTCATGGGAAACTATTTGTAGAGGACTCAAATATGTATCGAAAACAACTGTTAAAATTATTCTACGACTTAAAGGTATTCCAAAATTTTGCTAAAATATAATACATTTTTCTGTGAAAAAATGTGTATTACGTGTTGCGTTTTGTCATATTATTGTTTCTGATATTTGACAATATTTAAATCAATTATATTACATT